AATAAGTAGAAATGATAAGAAAATGAATATTGATAAAACTAAAGACAGTATAAACTTAGAAACAGATGTTCATAATATTGCTATCAAATGGGGAAGGCATGCATCACCATCCGATAATGGTGATAAGGAAACACAAGAAACTGTTAAACAAATAATGAAAAATTAGTATTTAAAGAGTAGATTTAACATAATTGCAACATTTAGTTTTAAAAGTTTAGTTTTATAATTTAGTATATATTTTACATGGCTGAAGGATTAGATAAGATTGTTAAACAACTAAAAAAGGTTTTAGAACAGAATAATAATATTTTGGAAATCTTACAAGAAATGGAAAAGAAGAAACCACTAACAAACAGTTATCAAAGTCAGGAAGTAGATAGAACCAGAGCTGAATATAAAAATAAAAGAAATATTTATTTAAACAAACTTAATAACAAAGAAATTAAAGAACCGAAGGCTTCAACTATGACATTTTATCAAATTGACTATGATGAAGATACAGGGGTTTATTCATAATATAACGATATATTGAGAAAATAAAAGACCGCACACATACATGTTTGATTTTGTAATTGTTGTGTGTCTTGGAGGGCAAAAGCAAGACACGAAAAAACTTTGAAACACCAAAATTATTTAAACGAACTTAATAACAAAGAAATTACAGAACCGAAGCAATCAACAATGGATTATGACAAAATAGAATATGACAAGGAACTGAAACTTTATGTTTAATCATTAACTAACAAAATTTCGTGTCTCAAAAGCGGTTTGTTTATTCCTGCTACTTTGTAAGTTTTATTACCCATAATATCATATTCAATTTTATCAATATTGAATATTTTATTGGACCATTTAGAGTTATACTCCTTTCTGTCGGTGTAATTACCCCTTTTCTTTTGGAACACTTTTACCTTGTCGTTCTCCTCTATTTTGGGATACTTTCTTTTGTTTTTTCTCGTAGTTTAAAATTGACCTTTACATTTATTTCATTGTCGTCCTTGTGTGCTTCAGACGGTGTCATCCTTGTTGATGAGTGTGATGTGCTGTTATACTGTTTCAATGTCGGCGTTAGGGCGTCGGTCCATTTCATGTTGTTAAACCTAACTCTATCGTGAATTTTGTTTTTCATCGTTCTAATAAAACGCTCGGCCACATTTGCGTGGGTCTTCGTAACGATGTGGTTTATTCCTTCACTGTTGAAGAAATCCTGAACGTGATTTTTAGTTGCAAACGCTCCGTCGTCATCAGTATACACGGACATCGGATAACCCATCTTTTTAAAGCTTGCTCTCAACGCCTTCAAAACGTTCTCTCCGTCTCTTTCCTCCATCGGTATTACATCTGCTAATTTACTGAATATGTCAATCACGACTAAAGCATACTGTGGAACGTTCTTGTCTTTTGCTAAAGGAGACATATGCATTATGTCTATTTGATATTCATATCGTGCGAATGGAGCGGTATAGGAATTAGTACCTCTATAATTTTTGATTTGTTTATTTGGTTGTTTCTTCAAGAAAGACTTTACATCGTCTATTGTTATTGTTGGGTCTTCTTCCTTTGCCTTCTTGTGTGTCGCTTGTGTGCTTCCGAAACCCTCGTCTAAGTCGTAATAGATGTTGCTGATTATTTGGTCTTTTGTTAATCTCGCCATTATATTAAATTGTTAGAAAATATTTGTTCAATATAAAGCCCCACCCCTTAACATAAAATACAAACTACTTAAAGAAAAATGGATATAATATAGAACAAACTACTTAAAGAAAAATGGATATAATATAGTAAGAAAAAAAAATGACACTGTTTAATTATGATAATTGTCCATGTAAAAATAAAAAAATGTAAGTCTGTCGTGGCACTAGCTAATATTTTACCTGTTAATGTTTGTAATCTTATAGGTGGTTATATTAAACCAACATGTTTTGATTGTTGGTATTTGAGAGATGAAGAAGAACATTTTATGAGAAATAAAGACATTCCTGAAGAAGGTCTGGAAAAAGCAGAGCTTCAGTTAAAGATTATTGAACAAATGCTAAATAACGATATTACTTGTCTAACAGTAATCCCTTTTGTTAACAAACAATACAGAAAAAGAATTGACAGAATATTTAATAAACAAGAGGTTAAAGAAAGATTTAAAACAAGAAAAATGTATTATCAAGGATTAAAATCATATTGTAAGAATAATCAAGAAGAAGTTACTGTACTTTTAAAAAATTGTCTTAAAATTGAAGAATTAAAGTTTATCAAAAATAGTGATTTGTTCTTTCCTAACCTAAACAATTGGTGGTCATATAGAAATAACAATTATTATGAGAAACATATTAAGCGACTTAATTGAAATTTACACAGACCAATTAATAAAAGGATACGAGCATTATTTTTGTGAGTATAGTATGAGTTGTTATAGTGGTTGTATCGCTGGTGAGATTGAATACGGGTCAAATTAACTTTTGTTTATTAATATTATTATCTTATAATATGATTAAACATTGTTTTATAATCTAACAAGAAGGTTAAGTCATTTAAATTAAACCTGAAACCCAGACCAGCCGACCAGCAACCCCCTAGCCAAAACTACTTAAAGAAATATTACCTTATATATTAAGAGAAAAATGAACGGTGATGGAATCAATAATTATATCGATAAAAAATGCTATGATTGTTGTCACTTCAAAAAAGAAAATATGGAATTGTATAAATTGAGTTTACCTAATGAAATAGTGAATAATATTATTAATTATTCAATGGATGAAAAAGACGAATGTGAAAATTGTCAGGAATGGAGAGATAATCAAATTTTAATCAAATGTCTGTTGGGAATAAAAAGAATACATAATAGAAATGTAGAAGATGATATTTTAATATTTCTAACTGTAAATAAAATACCACCTTACGATTGTGTTAAACAGTTTCTTAAAATCAGTAAGAAAAAATATGACACGATTTACGATATAGTATGGATGTTGGGTTATAGTCAAGAGAAAGGAGAAGATGTTAAAGAAAATATCAAATTATTTATTGAAAGTAAAAAGTTTAATGTTCAGAATACAGTGAGAGATGTTAATATTATTTTTAAAATGATGTATGAAAGAAGTAAGACAATCCAATTAGATTATTATCCTGAACTGAAATTATAATCATAATATAATAATAACATGTAAAATCTTATATGTTATAATTATACTGAACTTTTAACCTATAAAACATAGCTAGACAATCACATAAAAATCACATAAAAAGAAGTTGTTAAGATATATTAAGAATGGTTGTGAAGCAAACTATAATGAATAATTATGGAATGACAGAAGAAAAAGCAAAAGAAGACTTTGGTGAATTCTTCAAATGTAGCAGATGCCTTTATGATAAAACAATTGATGAATTTGGAAATGTAAAAAGTGGAAGAAGATATAAATATTGTCAAGAGTGTAGAACAAAAATAAATAATTGTAGAGATAAACGTCAAAGAAACAAACGACCCACCAACACCCCAGAACTTGATAACTACTAAAAGGGCTACCTCTTTCAAATGAAAAAAATGTTTGCCCCCAGCCCAACAATGAACAAGGGAGGCAATTACCAAAATGATTACCTTAACGAAAACGATAAATAAGCTCCCCAAAAACCCTCTTTTAAAAACGAATAAGGTGGTTAATAGGTTTGAGATGAACATAAAAACCAGAACAGGCAACCATCAACAGGCTTCCCCCCAGGCCCCCTACTTTCTCCATTTTTTTGGGGGGGGGTTCTCAAAAAGGGGGAGAAAAACAAAAAAGGGGGCCCAAAAAAACACGGGGGGGGGTTCTCTACTTTTGCTAGTTATTACTGGTCTGGTCCGAGGGGGATAAAACTGGGGTCATGATTTCGGTTCGGTTTCTGGGGGTTCATCAAAGTCAGCCAAATGGAATCGGTGGTTTCCCTTCAAGCCACTTAGGGGGGCGACTTTGATCATGGCAAAATACTGGGGCCAGTAAAACGGGGGCCAAACAAAAACACGGGGGGTTTACGGGGGTGCTGGGGAAAGGGTCGGGTGGTTTTCACAAAATGGTAAAAAAAAAAACAGAGAAAACAAAAAAAACAATAAAAAAAAAAAAAAAAAAAAAAAAAAAAAACAAAAAAAAAGAAACAAAAAATAAAAAAAAAAAAAAAAAAAAAAAAAAAAAAAAAAAAAATAAAAAAAAAAAAAAAAAAAAAAAAAAAAAAAAAAAAAAACAAAGCAAAAAAAAAAAGAAAAAAAAAAAAAAAAAAAAAAACAAAAAAAAAAAAAAAAATAAATAAAAACAATACAAGGACAAAAAAAAAAAAAGAAAAAAGAAAACCAAAAAAAAAAAAAAAAACAAAAAAAAAAAAATAAAAAAAAAAAAAAAAAAAAAAAAAAAAAAAAATAGTAAAAAAAATAAAAAAAAAAAATAATAAAAAAAAAAAAAAAACAAAAAAACAAAAAATAAAATAAAAAAAAACCGGGGTTGCTACAAAAAAAAACTCTACTTTTTCGAATGATCCCCGGTCTCTGGAATGTTGGGACCTGTGTTTGTTCCATGTTTGTTCTCAAAAGGGGCTGTCCTGGACTGCCAAGTTCCCAAGTTGCCGCGTTTTTTTCAGTCACTGTTGCTGGTTTTTGGGGTAAATTGGATGGACAAAAAATCAGCAACTGGCGATCCAGGTTGTCTTAGATGGTTTAACGGGGGAACCAGCCGGGCAAAAACATGTTTTTGGTATGAGCCCCGATTTTGGAGATTCCAAATGATCAGGGTGAAAGTGGACGGGGAAGCGCACTCAAACTCGCTTTGCGAGTTGGACGTTTTCAACTTTTTGAGATCGTTGATTTTGATTTTGAGAAGTTCGGACTTCTTCGGCCAATCCAGACAAATGAAAACACCAACTTAAATTGTTCTCAGCGGTGTTGCCACTCATGCGGTGGTTGATCCATGTTCGGAATGGGATGGTGGGGTCGTCCGTCGGTCTTCAAGCGGCGGGCCAGTGGGAATTGGACGTCCAAGGCTCGGGGATGGAAAGGTACTACAACACCGGCAAGGACGATGAGTTCCAGCCATTCGGCTTTCGGCTTGGAGGGTCCGGCTGGCACCATTTTGGAAGAGCCCACCGGAGAGGTGCACAGGTTTTGGATCGGCGGGAAGAAGCCGGCCGCAAATTTTGTGTGTTTAGGATTTGGGGGCAGGAAGGGGCCCTTGAACGAAGAGAGAAAGGGCTTTGATTCGATGGGAGGGACTGCAAGGGCAGAGAGCTGGTGTCGAGGGCGGAGAGCTGCAAGTTCGGAGGAAACATTGCCAGGCGAGCCTGGGGCAAGTCGATCTGTTGACTGTCTCAATGAGTTGTTTGTGTGTGGGGGTTCTACCACTTACAGCGGCCAAATGCAAATGGGGGCTTCCGTTTTGTACCTGGAGGCCACTGGGCATTTGGCTTCAAGTCGGAAACTCTGGTCTCGACATGTCTCGACCTTTGGGGTCACACTTGTCTTGATCCCACTGCCAGCGAATGGACCAGATTTGAGCTTGAGCTGTTCTCATGTTGGCCCGTTTTGAGGCAAGGTCCCAAAGGTCTAAGGGTTGCTTCCCCATTCTTTCCAAGGATCCTTCTTTCTAGAAAACCACCAAAAACCCTGGGAAAACGGCTGGTTTTCGAAATGAACGATAGTTGAAAATAATGGGGAATCAACCCTAGAAAAAGGTTTGCCTTTGTTCCATGTCCTTTGGCAAGTCAGTTGCAGGAGACACTCAATTTCATGCAAGTCAGCATTGGCCATCTCCCATGACTGACCTGGGTCCATTTTTCAGTGGCATTCTCAAAATGACCCCCCAATATTGTGGTTCAAACGGGTACCACCCACAAAAGTAATTTTCAGAATCCCTTAACACATTCCAAGCAGGGGACGCAGGAGAGTCATCCAGTGCTTTTCTATGCCTTTGAGGTTGGTTCTTCTAGCTGCCGATGCCAGCCGACCTCGTTTTGCGCCACCCGGCTGTGAGCTGTCGGTCGGCCAGCTTTTGACATGTCCCCCCCCCCTCCCTCCATTGAAGGTGTCACTAACCAGAAAGAAACGACTTGTTTCTCAGGGCCATTTGCCAGCATTTCCCTGTTGGAAGTAATAAGAGGTGGGTATCACTGGCAAGCATGATTCTCAAGAGCTTTTTGTCACGTACCCCGGGGCCAGGTGCAAGTAAAACTGTTCATTTGAAATTTCCAGCATGGGGAAAATATATGGAGATCCTCTCTCGCTCATGATGTGTATAGCCATAATTGTCCAATACGCTGATTGCACTCCGTGTGGTTTTGGCTCAAGAAAAGGGTGCGCTCCGCAGTGCACCCCAGGGCCGAGATATTGTATTTTGATGGTAGCGGGTGAGCCTCGACGGTCCATTTGGTTTGGAAAGCCGTTCGAGGGGCTTAAGGGCAAGAGCAAGGGCAAGAAGGGCAGGAACAAGGGCAAGAAGGGCAGGGGCAAGAGCAACAAGGAGGAGCCGCCGTGGAGGCGGCCCGCTCGCGGCAAGGGCAAAGCCGCAGAGCCGGACGAGGAGTCCGGGGCAGCGGAAGAGCTGCCGGAGGAGAGGCCGGAGATAGTTGCCCCTCCGAGTGAAGAAGAGGAAGACACCCTGTCCGCTGAGCCTGCCGCTGAGTCAGAAGCAGACTGGGGAGGATCCCAGGCTGCATCTCCTCCCTCCTCAGAGCCAGAGGCTCTGCCAAGTGGCCACAGGGGCCCAGAACCGGCTCGAGGAAGCCGAGCAGAGGAGAAGGAGGAGGAGGAGGAGCTGGATCAATACACCAACGAGGACAAGAAGGAGGATCGGAAATGAAAAAAAACAAAAAAACAGAGTTAAACGAACCTGAAGAGAGCGAAGAAAAAGGATCAAAAAAAAGAACCCGGAGATCTCCAGATTAGGAGTTGTGGACTATTACCAAACGTCTGTGCTCGGTTCCCTTCACAATGAAGTAGTCTAGGTTTCCACATAAAATCACGCCGCCGCAACGGAAAATTCAGTTTGAGCCCGAGGCCACGGACTTCGACCTGGAGCAGAAGGGCCAGAGCGAGGACGAGAGCGTGTGGGGCGATTGGGGCAGCGAGGGCAGGATCCAGCCCGAGCCCAAGGTCGCTCACACGCCTAGGTCGTCAGGATCCGGGTGGTGGCTGAGTGCGACTGGCAAAGACAAGAGGAGAAGCCAAAGCAGTCGGCAGTTTAGGATCCTCAAAGGCCTCCTGAAGCTCGCGCAGAAGAAGGGGGAAGAGCCATCTGCGGAGCTCCAGGAGGAGGTCGAGAACTTCGGGCAGGCGCCCTGGAAGAGGCGCCGGGTGCAGCCCAAGACACCACCGAAGTCCCCGCCTAAGTCCAGCCCTGCTCCGAAGACACCGCCGAAGGGGTTTACAAAGGCCCAAAGAAAGGAGCCTTCACCGGGCGCTGAGCCCGAGCTGCTGACACCGGTCGCCGAGGCAGCCAAAGCTCTCGGCCGACGGGTTACGGTGCACAGGAACATACAAGAGCTTGCGGTGGCAAGGACATCCCGCGGTGAAGGGACGAGCGAGCAGAACCTGGCCTCGAACTACCGCCTCAGGAAGGCGGCATTGGCAGAAGCTGCACACCGAGCCGGAGCAAAGGGCTCGGTGGCCAAAGCCATCCAGCAGAGTGTGCTGCAACTGGACGGGTTAGGGAACCCGTGTTCCTCGTGCGACGAGAGGACTCGCCTTCAGAGGCCATCATTGTTGGCCAGGGCCGCAGCAATTGCAGAAGGGGCGACAAGGAGGCGCGCACCGGTAGGAACGACCTCAAAGTCAGTACCGGAAGCTATCGCGAAGCCTCAGGTGAAGCCACCTCCTGCAAAAGCGGCTATAGAGGCGAAGGTGCCACCTCCATTGCCAAACCCGAAGCGGGCGCTCAAGGAGAAGGCCCACATCGCGAAGCCCAAGAGCGAGCCGAAGGTTTCGCTGGTTCCGAAGTGGGTGCTCAAGGAGAAGGCCCACGTCGAGAAGCCCAAGAGCGAGCCGAAGGTCTCGCTGGCTCGGCCGAAGCGGCCGCCACCTCCGCCACCGACTCCGTCGCCGGCTACACCCCTGAGCGAGACCGAGGGCAGTGTTCACCTTCACGATCAACCGGCGCCGGAGCCGAAAAGCGGATCGAGCTCGGGGTCGTACTATAGTACAGAAGAGTCCGGGAAGGCGGACTGACCTCCCGGTGCTTGGCACCGGATATAAGGCATGGAGGAAACAGTGCGAGAGTTGCAGCAGGCAGTTGAGCGGTTGTCACAGGAGAATCAACTTCTTAGGCAAGGCCAGGCAGGTATAGCTGCTTTGGCAGAGAACCTTGGTAGGTTAGCTACAAGCCTGCAGAAAGGTGATAGGAAGTTGTTGATAGACACCAAAGGGATTGGAAGACCGGAAGTCTTTTCCAATGATGACGGCCACTTCCGTAGATGGGCCCGGTCTGTGGTGAACCTCACAACGGCAATCTTTGGATCCAGTTTCCAGTCAATCCTTGAATGGGTAGTTGATCAGGATGAGGAGATCACTGTTGAAAAGGTAGAAGAGGAACATGGAGGCGAACTGGGAATGGCCGGACTGGATGATAAGGGAGACCAACTGTACAGGCTGTTGTCATCCCTTACTACTCATGAGTCCGAAGACCTGGTCATCAATGCCAAGAACGGGTATGAGGCATGGCGAAGGCTTAACAGGAGATGGGACCCCCTCACCGCAGGTAGGAAGAGGAACATCCTAAGGGCCATCCTCAACCCCGAAAGAGTTAAGTCTTGGGAAGCAGTTCGACCGGCCATGGAACAACTAGATGATTTGATGCGCCGATATGAGGCCAGAAGGAACGAAAGGGGCGAGAGGGAAATCCTCTCTCAGGACATAAAGTGTACGTCCCTAGAACTTCTGGTTCCAACCGACATTGAGCGCCACCTCATTCTGAACAAGAACCGGCTGGGAACCTATGAGGAAATGAAACAGGAGATTGAGGTTCTGATTGAAACAGTCACGGGAGCAAAGGGGACGATCCATCGACCGGGGTCCAGTGGGGCTTCGAGATCGGGGCAAGGCCCCGCTCCGATGGACGTGGACGCCATCACGAAGGTGCTCAACTCGCTGGTCAAAGGCTCGAAAGGTTCGAAAGGAGGCAAAGGCAAGGGAAAGGACAAAGGTGGAGGCAAAGGCAAAGGAAAAGGTAAGGACAGCAAGGGAAAAGGTAAAGGCAGTGGTTCAGGCAGCTCAGGGTCCGCAGGAGCATGCTTCAACTGTGGTAAGACCGGCCATAGAGCGGCCGAGTGTTGGAGCAAGAAGAAGGATGGAAAAGGTTCCAAAGGCTCAGGGAAGTCTGGCTCCAAGCAGAAGCATGTGGCAGGATTCGAGGACGCTGACTACGAAGCTGGAGACCAAGAAGAACAACCGGAGGCCGAAGTGGGAATGTTTGAGCTGGGTGCATTCACCCAGGGAGAGTCCCCGAAAGACCCAAACTGGGTTCGGTTCAACCTTGATACGGGGGCTGCTCAAACTGCTATTCCAGTGGATTGGAAAGACCGCATCCCCACTAAGGAAGGAGCCCAGATGATGTTCAAGACAGCATCGGGGGAACTGGTCCCTGGGACCGGAACCGGGACGTTTCAAGGTAAGAGTGAAACAGGTTCCAGGTGTAAAGTCACAGGGCCACTAGCACCGGTACACAAACCGTTGGTTTCAGCTTACAAATGCCTCAACCATGGAAGGATGGCTGTTCTTGATCAAAATGGTGGACAGTTGATTCCAGCAGACTCAGCGACAGGAAGGAAAATTCAGCAGTTGCTCAACAAGCCCAGTAAAGCCCAAAAGAAGACTTGGTTGCCCATATACCAAGAGAAAGGAGTTTACAACTTATATTTGAAGTCGGAAGATTGTTCGGGTTTTGGACGGCAGTCCAGCGAGGCGTAAGTCCGGCCAAACCACTTGCCGCGGCAGATGATGCCGTGGGTGCCGGACAAGGGAACCCAGAGGCACCAGGCCCATCGAGGGCCGAGGTTGCGGAGCATGAGGCAACAGGTCACGTGCAGTATCGCAACTGGTGTCGGCATTGTCTTGCCGGCAGAGGATTGGGTCAGCAGCATCGCTCACGACCCGAAGAGGACAAGGCGAGCGATGAGCTCGCGACAATCTCGTGCGACTACACATGGATGACGCGAGATGGAAAGGAGGATGGGAAGACTAAGCCTATCCTGGTGATCCGAGACAGTCGGACACTGGCCGTTGCGGCCACCTTCGTGGACGCAAAAGGACCGACGCCATATGCGGTCAAATTCATGGCGAACTTTATAAAGCATCTTGGTTACCGTCGTGCAGTCTTCAAGAGTGATGGTGAGCATTCGATCGTTGCCCTGAAGGAGCAGGCGGCCAAGGAAGCAGGAGTGGAGAATGTTCCACAGGAGTCGCCGGTGGCTGACCACCGGGCGAATGGCGCAATCGAGAACTTGTGCCGAGAACTCAAAAGGCAGGTGAGAGTCCTGCGATCCTCACTGGAGGAGAAGTTGGGTCGAGTCTTGAAGGATGACGACCCTGTGCTGTCTTGGTTTCCAAGGCATGCAGCAGACCTGATGTGCAGGTACAAGAGAGGTTCCGACGGGAAGACACCGGAACAAAGGAGGTGTGGCCGAGAATGGAGAAAGCCGGCAATCGCCATAGGAGAGCGGTTGTATTACCGTGAGGTAGGAGAAGGAGCTAGGCCACTCAAGGAAGGCAGGTACATAGGTCACCACGGAAGAACTGGCACTTTGCTGGTTGTGACCTCAGAAGGAGTGAAGAGAGGCACTGGTGTTCGTCGACTTCCAGAAGAAGATCAATGGAATCCACAAGGATGGGAAAGCCTTAAAGGCTACCCGTGGGAGGTCTCAGTGCGAGCGCCGGGAACGCCGGGGCAGAGGGCCCCGGGAACTCCTGCTCAAGGAGTGGAGGACCTGCTGGTCAGTGAAGACCGGGTTGAGGTTCCGCCTCAGGTTGTGCCTGTTATGGCACCGCCACAGCAGCGACGGATTTACATCCGTAAGGCAGATGTGGAGAAGTACCAACCTACTGATGGATGTCCTGGATGCACTTGCGTGCTACTAGGGGAATCCACTCAGTTGCCGCACACTGAGATGTGCCGAGCGAGAATCGTCGGTCTCATGATGGATGATGAGCAAGGACGACGCCGTGTCGAAGCTCACAAAAGGAAAAGAGAGGAGACCGCGGAAGTAGGAGTGGAAGCAGATCTCCCAGCCCAAGAGGCCATGGGAGAGCCGGCCGCTGAGGCCGGAGTAGGATCTAGGCAAGACCCTGGACAAGTGATGGAGTATGTGGAGGATCCCGCGAAGAGGGCTGAACTCAAGAGAGCAGCAGCAGACCCGCCAGCATCGAGTAGCCCAAAGAGCAAGGCGAAGCCGACCACGCAGATCAAGAGACCGGGAGCGCTGTATATAGCGCCCGGAGCCAAGCAGAAGACGCAGCAGAAGCAAGGTGAGAAGCGAGAGCCCGCAGTATCTCCTGAAGAACTCCGAACGGAGACTCAACCGGCGGCTGACGCCGAGACTTCAAACACCCCGGACAAGCCCCCAGACGTGGGTGGACTTGAACTGGGTCGATTGAAGAGGATGTTGAAGTCCATGGTTGGACGGAAAGTAGAGAGAGCGTTTTTGGCTCAGGAGGTGGAGATCAACGCGGTCGAGCTGGAGCAGATCACCAAGCTGTGCGTGGATGGGCGCTGTTGATATCATGGAGATCTACAGCCCGAAGCGGTTCACGGCCCAAGCCGGGCAGTATGGCTTGAGGCCGGGCTTTGCGGTAGACCTTGAGGAGCAGAAACCGGACGGTTCCTACTGGGATCTCAGCAAGACTGAGGACGTCCGAGAGCTCGAGGAGTATGTGGACGAGGTCGAGCCGACATTGCTCACAGGGAGCCCACCTTGTGACCAATTCTCCCAGCTCCAGAACATCAACAAGTACAGGGTGAGCCCAGACAAGAGGCGCGAGAAGATGGATAGAGCAGTTGCTCATTTGCATACCGCCTGTAGGTTCTACAGGAAGCAGTTGCAGGCAGGTAGGTTCTTCTTGCATGAGGCACCGTGGAGTGCTACCTCTTGGAAAGACCCGGAGGTCCGTGAGCTCACTGAGAGACCGGACGTGTACACTGTCCGAGGCCCAATGTGCAGATGGGCTATGGTCGCTACGGACCGGAGGGGTTTGCAGGGCACAGGATATGTGCGGAAAGAAACTGGCTGGATGACCAACCATCCAGGTTTGGCCCAACTGTTGGAGGGCGAATGCACCAACAATGTGCCGGGGAAACCATGGCACCGGCACATCCACCTGATCGGAGGACTCGCTAGACCGGCGGCCCATTATCCGCCAGCGCTAGTGCGAGCGGTCCTGAAGACTTTGAAGAGCCACCTTGTAGAGAGTGGCCAGTTGAGTGCATTGGACGCAGCAGTTGCAGGTCCAATCCCAGAGGAGAGCTTCGTGACGCCGGAAGACGTGGAGCAGTACTGGGACGACGTGAATGGTGGGTTTTTGCCACCAGACCGAGTCAGGGAGGCACGTCAGCTCGAGTTGGACTATCTTAGGAAGCAAGAGGTTTACGAGAAGGTGCCGCTCGAGGAATGCCTCAGAGAGACCAACGGGAAGGGTCCAATCACCACCCGTTGGATAGACACCAACAAGGGAGACCCCGCCAATCCCAACTTCAGGTCGAGATTGGTGGTCCGGGAGATCAAGGCCCGGAAGAGTCCAGAGGAAAGGATTCCTCAGAACATGCTGTTTTCGTCAACACCGCCTTTAGAGGCTATGAGGCTGCTATGTAGCCTATGGGCCACTGAGCGTGTATCCCATGGAGGACGACCACTCAAGATCGGACTTTGGGATATATCAAGAGCCCACTTTTATGGCGTACCCAAACGCCGCATATACATCCAGTTGCCGGACGAGGACGCCAGTCCGGGAATGGTGGGTCGTTTGACTAAGTCGATGTACGGGACACAGGATGCCCCTAACATATGGCAGCAGCACTACACGCAGCTGTTGATCAAAGCCGGATATCTCCGGGGAAAGTCAAATGGCTCAGTGTTCTATCACCCGACACTGGGAATAAGAGTGCTGGTGCACGGAGATGATTTCATGGCGTTAGGAGACGCCGAGGCGCTGAAGGAAGTAGATACTTTGCTTCGCAGTGCCTACGAGTTGAAATGGCTCGGGACGATAGGTGATGAGGAAGGAGACCACAAGGAGGTCCACTTTCTCAACCGGCTCATTCGTTGTGAACAACATCAAGGAGCGAGTGCGATCCTGATCGAGCCAGATCGACGCCATGTTGATTTGCTTGTGCAGCAGCTTGGCATGGAGAATGCCAAGGGAGCGGAGACACCGGACGTGAAGAAGTCCGTGGATTTGCAGATGCAGGACGCCCGGAGCCCAGCTCTACCGAAAGAGCAGGCTTCCCTGTATCGCTCATGCGTGATGAGGGCAGCGTACCTGTCACAGGACAGGTTGGACATCAGCCACGCTGTGAAGAATCTTGCGAGGAAGATGGTTTCTCCTACAGAGGCATCTTTGCAGGATTTGAAGCGACTGTGTCGCTACCTCATCAAGAAGCCGGACGTGTGTCAGGTCTTTGCACGGCAAGCCAAGCCGAGCAAGCTCCGAATCCAGGTGGATTCCGATCATGCCGGAGACGCAATAACGAGGAGATCCACAACAGGCATGGTTGCTCTGTATGGGTTGCATGTGCTCAAGCACAGCAGCAATGTGCAGTCGACCATCGCTTTGTCGACTGGGGAGTCGGAGTATTATGCTCTTGTCAAAGGAGGTTCAGTTGGTCTAGGCCTACAGTCACTCTTGGAGGACTTTGCGGTCGAGACCCAGGTGCTGATTCAATCAGATGCGACTGCAGCAAAAGGAACTGTCAATCGGGCAGGTCTGGGAAAGGCCCGTCACATCCAGACGAGGTTCCTGTGGTTGCAGGAAAGGGTCAGCATGGACCATCTGAGGGTGGAGCATACCCCTGGCAAGTCCAACAGGGCTGATGCTCTAACAAAGAGCATTCCAGGTGTACAGATGTCTGATACCATGCGAAGGTGTGGTTATGTTTTCCTTGACCAACGTAGCAAGGGACAGCTTAAGCTGCTAGAAGGCTAAGGTCCCTGGCCAGACTCCGCTACCTGAATTGCTGTGCGAGCGTGTACAGAGACGCTCTTCCAGCAAGGAGGAGTCATGATGTGTATAGCCATAATTGTCCAATACGCTGATTGCACTCCGTGTGGTTTTGGCTCAAGAAAAGGGTGCGCTCCGCAGTGCACCCCAGGGCCGAGATATTGTATTTTGACTCGCTCTCTCTCTCTCTCTCTCTCTCTCTCTCTCTCTGTAAATGTACCTATGTTGCGATATAGTCATGCAGGCGTTAATTCATTCATTCATGCATTCATGCATTGGTTCATGCATGCACACATCCATTTATCATTCATCCATTCATTCCACTTATATATATTTAATTTGTTTATGCGTTATGCATTCATCCCTTACTTCATTTATTCATTCATCAATTCATCAATTAATCCACTCTTCCATTCATCAAAGTATCCATTCATCCATTCACCCCATTCATCATCCCATTCATTCCATTAATTTCATTTATTGAATTATTCATTCATTCATTCATTCATTCATTCATTCATTCATTCATTCATTTCATTCATGCATTCATTCATGCATTCATTCCATCCATCCATCCATGCATCCATCCATCCATCCATTCATTCATACATTCATTCATTAATTCATTCATTAACTCATTTATTCATTCATTCGTTCGTTCGTTCATTCATTCATTCATTCATGCATTCAGTCACGCATGCATGCATTCATGCACGCATTCATGCATCCATGCATCCGTGCATTCATGCGATCATGCATTCATGCAATTATGCGTTCGTTCAATCATGCATTCATGCATCCATGCATTCATGCATTCGTGCAATCATGCATCCATGCATCCATGCATTCGTGCAATCATGCATTCCTGCAATCATGCATTCATGCATTCATGCATTCATGCATTCATGCATTCATTCCTTCCTTCCTTCCTTCCTTCCTTCCTTCCTTCCTTCCTTCCTTCCTTCCTTCCTTCCTTCCTTCCTTCCTTCATTTATTGTGTCATTACTTATTTTCTTCATTTATTATGTCATTCCTCATGTCCTTCATTCGTTCATTCATCAGTTCATTCATATTTATTAATATTCATTCATGATCATTTGTATTTATACATATTCGTGTCTATTCATTGATATTAGTCAATGTTCATTCAATTCCCATCCATCCATTCAATCAATCAATCATTCATTCATTCCATTTCACTCCACTCCATTCCACTCCACTCCACTGCATTCCACTCCATTCCATTCTATTTCATCACGCATCATGGGCACCGCAGGGGTACGTACCCAGGAGCTCGCTGGAGTTTTCTTCCTTGACGCCTCCGTCCGAGGCTGCCCCGTGCGCCATCGAAAGTAGACATCAAGCCAGAGGCGCTTCGTTCGCGCGAGCGGCTCATGCGAGGAGCTGCTTTTCTCTGGGAGTGTCATGAAGAAATGACACACCCGAACGGGTGTGGTGGTTCCATTTGTTCTTTTTGTTGTTGGGGGGGGGGGTGAACTCCCCTAAATAAAACAAGACACCCCGCTGAATCAAGGGGTGCTGTGCCAACTATCAAGGTCATTCTGACTGTTCCGGCTGGAGTTCTTGCCCTTTTTTGCAAGGGGGACAAGTTGGACGGGGGTCGTGGTTGGATACCCTGCAAATCAATACCCCCGAAACAGGGGTCCAAGTGCCTTCGGGGATTCCGGTAAAAATAAGGAAATTCCTCTAGACCTGGAAGTACAGCCGGGTGAAAGTGTTTTGATTTCTTTTAATGTCCTCTAGACCTGGAAGAAAAAAAGCCAGGTGACAGTGTTTTGGGTACTAAGAAAGTCCCGTTTGGTTTCCACATTGATCCGTGGGGCATCCGCCTCACGGGGGTGAGCGCGACGACTCGGCGACAGGTGCAGACACCCCGGAGCTACGCAGAGCGCAGGAGAGCTGATGGACCAGATATAGGTCCCCCAGCAATTGGTGCCCTTTCTCTCCCCTTTTTTGGTTGGGAGGGTTCGGGACCCTACTAAAATAGACTAAACCCCAAAAAAAATCGGTACCCTTTTTCTAACCTCTCCACTGGAGGACCTAGAGATTGAGTTGGTTGGGTTCATCTGGGTTTCATCTACTGGTCTTGCTTTGTTTCTCCAGGGTATCCACCCTGGAACTGATTGTTCCAAGAATACCCTCAGGAAGGTGGGTCTTTGAATATGGGACCCCCCTTCTTTGTTCAAGCGGATGCCAACAAGAACATCGCCCTCGAAAGATCGAAGAAAAACACACCTGTGACGCACTTTGCGCAGTCTTGACACAGAAGCTTCGGTCTTAAAGTTCCCTCACCTTGGTGAATGTTAGGGGGCCATGGGGCACGTGACGTGCCACAAAAGCCAGACATGTCGCATAGGATTTGCAACATGTTTTGACCGTGGCAGGGGTCCACATCTAAGTTTCCCCTCAGCATCAGGATTGTGAACCTTGAATTCCGGGTGCTGGTCAAGCCTTGTAATTAAATCCATGGTGTCGTCCTTCATGATTTCATGATGGTTTGGTGCTTTTCTTCGGATACGTGCTCTTCCTGAAGATATGTATGCCAAACTCTCGTTCCCGGGATGGCCTTGCAGGAGCACGACGCCGAGCCAGAGAGGCGCGCGACTGCAAGCAGAAGAACGTATCAATAGTCTTGGATGTACTGCGGGTGGGGGAAATCCTGCACCACTTGGCATAGATGAACCCCTATAAAAACTGAATCAAGATGGATGTTTTAAGTGATGCGAGTTGTGTCCACAGGGAAGGGCTGGGAGTTGGCTAGCCAGGCCAAACCCAAGCGCCCGAACCATGGGTCTCTTGAAGTTCCGCCTGCTGCTTTAATTGAAACAACGCATTCGGTATGGTTGTGAGAAGTCTGATGCGTGATTCTTTTATGGGGCTCGCATCCATGCCTATTTGCCCAGGGATGGAGCCGACCGAGCCGAGCGGCGTGGCGGTTTCCAGCATGCATGCAGACCCTCCGGCAGCCACGAGGACTTGGGTGGCTCATAGTAGGCCCCATTGGAGCCATCCAAAAAGCCTCTTGAGGCCATGTTTTTCGGTTAATCTCAGGCTGCGTTTGTGGCGGGCAAATCAGTCACCGTGCGAGCGAGGAGCAACAGCGTGTCCAGCTGCAGCCTGAGAAGCCTTCGTGGCCGGCAGAGGAACCTGTGGAACGCCTGACTCGCACAGCCACTGTGGGCCCTGTTTCTCTACGTTTCTTTGTCAGCTCTGAGCAGTTGTCAGGCTTGCCCAAGTGTCAAGTTGTTCTTGATGAGGGCGCGATGAGGCTGGCTTCCTAAAAGCAGTGGTAAGAGCATTTGTCTTTAGGCCTTTGGGTTCAGAATCAGTTTGCCCACGTGCTTGTGGTATCAAAGTTTGCCGCGCTCTTGTAAAAGGAAGATGGCACGCATGTGTTCCACTGTTGCTGGCTTTTTTTGCGGAAACTTTTTGTCGAGCACAAGTCAGTTGCCTGACCTCGAACTCCTTTCACTGTTACCAAAGGGGTCCCAGGGCAAGTGATTTTATCGCGCAGATTGGAAAAGAAAAGGAATCCAAATACTTGAACAACGTCCGCATCTCGAGAGTAGAAAACCTGGGGTTTCACCCAGGAAACCAAATCAACCAGCGGCTGCGGTGCCGTTTGCGCGCGCGTTTTTTTATTTCTCAGGCGCGCAAACGGGCCCCTCCCGCACCTCCAGCCGGCCCCGGTACTCGGAGGTGCGCAAGGCCCGGCGAGCCACTCGGCTGAAAGAAGCTCCGCCGGAATAAGATGAATGACTTCCAGTTGGTCGAGATTTTTTTTTTCGGAATCTATCACTACTGGATTTATTCTTATATTTATCCAGGGGACTTGAGCAAATGGAGAATGGAAGAAATCCCCCGCTGGGTGCCAATTGGGTTGAACAGCCACGAACTTTTTGTTGGTGTACACTGGGCGTTTTAGATGCAGTCCAAAATCCTTACCTTGGGTGAAAGGGGTTCCCCTTGTAGCTGTCCAATAGGGATTGTGGATTAGGATTGGACTCTCCATGTTGAACAGCCCGGTTAAACTTACAAGGGGTGATCGGCCTGATTCTCTTTGGCCGTTGGGGAAGTTGGGTGGGGCAATGATTTGTACCAGGACTTCCCTACGCGACAATGTGCTCAGAGAGGATGTGCCCACTTTGGTGTCACTGTAAGGGTTGCTCTCCTGATGAACCTGGAACTCTAGGGCCCCAGCGTTCGAAGCAGTCCGTTTCAGGCAAGCTGACTGAGTCACGAAAAAACGAGCAGCAACATTTTAGTACTTCGCATTGCTGCGTTGTTGTTGGATTTTGTTTTAAGTCTTCTTTGCTTTGGATTGGCTTTCTCATTTTTAATAGGCTGCAATAACATCCTCCTTTTTATATCGCACCGTTTGGGTTGAAAAGGGTCGATGGTTCTACTTTCACCCTGCACCCTCTTTGCTTGCATGCGGATCATGCGGTAGACGGGATTGTTGTGGTCGGCCTGCCGCGTGGTCGGCAGAATCAACGCCACTCTTTGAGCTGCAGGAACGAGTCTGTTCCTGCACGTGCATGCCCAGAATGATATGTGTGTATACTTCCCATGGGAAAGTTGCAGCTTTGTCTTTGGGGTCGGGCGAGAAGGTGACGCCTCTAAACATGGATCAGCTTGCCTACGGTTTCAGGATTGCATGTGTTTGATTCGATGCAGATGGGTCCCGCTGATCTTAGGCCTCAGCCCAGCCCGAAGTTCAGCCAGAGGCATGGAAGGGGCTGGACTTCGATCGGACCAAGTGTCAGCCTTTGCCAAGAAGCACGGGACCTGAATTCTTCCGTGCCCTGAGTTCACATCTTAGGTCCACTAAAACGTGGGTCAGCATCTCATGGTGTTTTAATTAGTTACGGGAGCTGAGAGTAGTGCCCGAATCTGTCCTCTTGTAGGCTACCTCACTGCAATCGGTTGTTGGATTTGAGGCCTTGGGGCAGACGTGGGGCCCTTTCGGCCAATTTCTTGCTTTCTTATGGTTCCCACTCAGACCCCGTCTCATACAAAGGGTCCACCTTTTTGAGACGCCACCATTTGATGTTCCATTTTGGGAATCGCCCAAAGCAGCTGGCCTGACTTCAACGTGCCTTGAAGCACTCTAGGCCTGCCAGGCTTCCGGGAGTGGGAAATGGGGATGAACAAACCCCGAGTTCTATCGGAAGCTGTGAAAGGCAGGCGTGTGAATTGAGCCACCCAGCCCGCACCGCGGACTCCAGCAAGGAGCTGGTGGGTTCCATTCAATAGGCCTGGGGCCTATGGGTCTGTGAGGTCGTGCCAACGCCCCTGGCTGATCGTCGTGATGCACTTCACAGTTGATTGAAACACCAGGAAATGGACGGCAGATCTGAGTCTACGTTTCCACTTGCCAGGGCAAGCCATTTTGGCTCCACAGCCATGTGCCAGGTGTCCTGCGCCAGTTCCGTGATCAGCGCTGGTCGACGCCTCGGGCGGAAAGATGAAAAAGAAAACACAAGTCCCCGAGGTGTTGGTCTCACTCCTTGAATTCCTGGACTTCATTTGTTCTTATGAGGACTACTTGAGTGGTAAACAACCAGTTGGGATTTTTTTGGCAAGCCCACTCAGGAAGTGAGCGGTTGGGCAGCCGGAAAGGTATAGCTATATCGCAGAGTACCGCAGGGAGCGCGAAGAGGGAGTCCAACTCTACAGGAGTTCCTCGTGGCTTGCTGATGCTAATCTCCAGGTAGCTTCGCCCCAACCTGTCAGGCTCCTGTAAGCCCTCAAGATCCCAGGCTTACCATCCAATTGACTACGCCGCTACCTACTCCCTTGCAAAGCACAAACACGCAGATTCATGGGCTGGTGTACTGTGGAGGATCCTTTTTCATCAGAGGGATCCCCCTAAAATGCTTGGATTTAGGACGCACCCCTGGCCAGCACGGTCCTCCAGAAAAGGCCTAAGTCAGTATTCGGCTGGGTGAAGGTAGATGACACAATTCCCCCATTTGCTAGAGGGCAACCCGTTGTTTTGGAAGATAATTATGAGTGGTGTGTCAGAATGTCCATCATCCTCCGGAAAAAGCCCAAGTTGATTTGGAAACAAATGGCCTTTCCATTGGGCCTACAAAAGGTGATCGAATCTAGCGCTTGGGGCCACCCAGTTGAAGGGTGGCTTTCCCACATCTTAAGGACAGGGCTTTCTTTAGCGAGTTTCCATCTGGCCTCCTTTTGACGTGAAGAAAACTCCTTTTGACGTGAAGAAAACTCCATCCTTAAATGCTCTGGACCCATCTGCCGGAGAATTCCCATCGCCATCTCCCCGAGGCGAGCCGCGGCCTCGACCTCGCCCAGAGGCGCAGGCGGCGACGGCGCCGACGGCGGCGACGGCGCCGATGGCGATGGCGCAGACCTTCCCAGGGGTTCTGCCGGAAGGACGGGGGGGAGGGATGCCCAAGGCGGGTCCCATTTTGGGATCCGAAGCGCGAAGGTAGAGGTCTAGGTAGTGCTCAGAACAGCAATCTGGCTGGGAGAGATTCCAACTTGGCTAACTCCCTATGAGGCAAGCCCCTAGGCTAAAGGCCCAACCAGGAAGTCCCAGAGGGACACTCATTAAGAGAGTGGCCCCTCAATTCTGTCAAAAGTAGCCTAGGAGATAGAGAACCACGCAGAAGACATGCACAGTTTTGCGCATGTTTCTTGCTTCCGATGCAGATCCCCTGCCATCCTTCTTTGTTGAAACATGCTCTTTTTGTTTAGGCCGCCCCCCCCCCCCCCCCAGCCCCCATGAGTTGTCATCCTCGCCTGCCGTTTTGTGGCGAGTTTCTGTAGTTGACTCGGCGTCCCGCGTTGCAGCAGGAGACCTGACCCCACGCACAAGGAGCAGGCATGGATGGTTACTTGAGCAGGGTCTTTGCAGGGTCTCTATATGGGTCTGTGTTTTTTTACCGTGTCAGTTCTTGGCTTGGGCGAGCCATACCCCCGAATCATACCCCGAGCCATACCCCCGAGCCATACCCCGAGTCATACCCCTTAAAAAACACAAAAAAGAACTTGCAAGAACTGTGGCAGTTGCATGTGATCCATGGATAGCTGGAAGGTATAGGGGGTTTAACTTCAAGTGAAGAAGGGGGTCTTGTCAAGAAACAGTGTTAGAGAGCTTGACATGTGGACCGATGCCAGGGGGTAGGGACTCCGAGGTAATACCTGGTTCACTTGTGGTTCCTGGATCTATCCTTGAGTCTGCGACGCTTGCATGGTTGGGCTCTGATGTCATGGGGCCAAGTACAGTTGACATGTCCACTCACACACTCACTGGTTACTCGTGGGGGGCCATTTTTGCCAATGGATGGAGTTATAGAGCAATCCTGCGGATGTCCTGGTACTAGAGTTGGCGGGGGGGTGCAGCTTGACGTAAGACGCTGGGACTTGCAGGGCGCTGTGGCGGGGGGTGCCGCTGCTGAGCTTGAAACTTGGAGCTTGCTTCCTGCAGTCTGTCCGACGCGGTGGAAACAGCTGTCTGTCCTGGGCCACTGTCGCAGTGAAACACAAGCTGTCTTTGTGCTCCTGGGGTACTCTTGGTGTCTTTCCGGTCGAAAAAAATCTGTCCCCCGATTCATACCCCCGATTCATACCCGATTCATACCCCGATTCATACCCTTCTGCTGCCATTTGCAGCCAAGAGCCTCTTGCGCTCTGGGCAGTACTAGCGAAGCTATGCCGCCCAAATCCTCAGAAGACACAAAACTCAAAGAGAAGCACTGCAGGAACCAGCTCGCGGCTCTTTTCGCAAAAGTTCGCGAGAAGGTGGGTTCGGAAGGCTTACTGCGATGTATCAAGCGCGACACGGTACCCACCTGTGAGAGGCCCACTAGCCTCTGCGCGGCTCCAATTTGAGGATGTCACGCTGTCTTGCCCTTACGCTGGTTCGTGACTGGTGCGGGTGGCGGGCCTGACTGGGCAGCGGCGCTTCCCCTTAAGCAACGCTTGCTTGGGTCTGTGAGCACGCGGGTCGCTTGAACTCCAAGTGGAGGTGGCCATGACGTTCGCCTCAGGCAGTGGCTCTGCGCCTTCCACCTAGCGCAGCAGCTTTCGCTAACCCAGAGTGGCAGCTGTCTAGTTCAGGCCACGCACAAGCCCCCCAGGCTGGCTTGTAGCAACTAAGCGGTCCAAATTCTCACGGCTATCCAGCGCACGGGAGCTTTGCAGTGTCCAAAGCCACAAAGCAAGAGTTCAGAGGCGCGCGAGCCATACCCCGAATCATACCCCCGAGCCATACCCCGAACCATACCTGCGATTCATACCTCTTATACCAACCTCCCGGCACGGCCACGTCAAAAAAACACATACATATGTCTCTTCTTGAGTTTGCCACGTGCATCTTTTGGTCAAAATGACTGATTGGGCTGGTTGTGTTTTTGCACTGCAGTTTGCCGCGTGGTTTACCCATTGTGTTGGTTGAAACATAATTGGTTGGTTGGTTCTTCTTCTTGGTTCTTTTTGCACTGGCGGCTGGTTCTTTGTGCACTGCGCACTGGTTGCTCAACCTGGTGTAAGTTTTTCCGGAGGAAAACAAAAACACACACACACAAAAAAATAATAGAAACCACAACAACAAACACAATAAGAATTGAAGGACAAAAAAAACAGGTCACTGCTCCAAGCCTTCAGGTACTCGGAGCTCAGGAAGTCCCGGAGCCCCAGGCTCGCGGGGGCCACGAGCCACGAGCGCCATGCGAAAGGGGACCCAAGGGGTATGTCTCAGGTCGGCACTTGACGTGGCGTGGCGTGGCGTGGGCTTTGGGGAGTGGAGCCATTTCCTGGAATTCTGGCTGGGTAAGATTTCAATCCGGTAAAGCGGTAAACCACCCAACCTTGGTGGCTCCTTTACCTTGATCGCGGGAGGTGATTCTCAGCAACTATGTTTTACGTTCAGGGGAACCAAGCCAGCAACCATTGGGCCTCCCCGTAAACTTGCTGGTTCGCTAGGCAGGGAATGAGTTGGACTGACCCCAAGGAAAACCACTCCCTATTCATTCCCAACAAGCACAAGCAAGTTACTTGGGGTCTTGCCAGGGATGGTCATGCACCTGGTAAAGATCCTCAATCCCCCCTTATTATCTTTGATCAAATAAAGGGAACCGTGACCATAGGCCAAACAAACGGAGTCTCGACCACGCCCCATATGCGTTGATAGTCTTCTATTTGCTTAAGACTATTTGTTATTCTCCCTTGTTGGTTTTAAAGGGATTCACTACTGGATTTGTTTCTCCCTGGGGCTTAAGCAAATGGAAGTAGCGGGTGCATTCCTCCCAAGATTTTCCACGGAGGGCATCACGGCCCAAATGAACATAATTCGCGCGTACAAGTTGGGGCGGCCACCGTCTGCTCAGCGGCTGGTGGGGGTGCAAGATGCTCAGCAACCTCCAATCGCAGAATCGTCAACTGCCACCACTGTAAGTCCCACTTGAAACCTTAGTAAGTAGGCTGCAACCATGGTTTTATCTGGGGCAAGCTGGGGTTGGCTTATAACCATGGTAACCTGCTCGCCGAGTAATTACTTCCATTTGCTTAAGATTTTTCTCAAGTTTCCCCTTGCTTGTGTTTAACGGGACTTCCTACGCTAGGTGGACACACGCTTGAATTTTTTGCAGGGGCATTGCTGCAAGCAGAGGACGAGGTTGAGCGTCCCAGCATGCGGCTTGGTCCGCCTGCTAGGCCGCAGCCCGTGGCCGAGCCGGCCTTCGCGCCGGAGCCCTCAGAAGGAACGACGGCAGGCGCGAGAAGCGGAGGGGACGTGAGGCCCGAGGTCCTCGGGCGGGTCCAGTCTCCCCAGATGCGGTCCAAAAGGTGGGTATGGGTCAAAATTAAACCCACCAGGGGACCGCAGGTGTTGGTCTTTGGTTCCATTTATCAGGGTTCCATTTTGGGTACCCATTTTTGACCCACAGCCAGGTGACACCCTACGGTCGACTGCGGATGGTTGCGAAATCCATTTCGCACCACCGTTCAGAAATAATACTAGAATAAGACGATTACCCTGCGAATACCAACAAACAATGGCTTATCAAGGTTCCAAAATGGTGTGAAATGGATTTCGTGCATCCACAGTTCGAATCAACCAGTGCTGAGTTCTCAGTTCTGGGAAGCCATGGGGTAAGAGCAAGCCCCTCCAAAAAGCTAACGGTCACACAGGGAACCCCTTGAGTGAGGGAACGCCCCCCTTCTCATACCATGTTCTGTGAGTTGTGGGTAGGTTTGGATTGTCACGTTTGTGTTAGATGCTGAACTTGTGAACCCGCAGCTAATGTTGGTCGTTCTCATTTGCCGATTCCGCTACTACGTAGGAGTATTAAGTTGGATGTATTGGACCCAGCGTCTATTCGGGTGGCATTGTCGGCACATCCCCAGCTCATCAGAATTGCATTGGGGAAGGGAGGACCCTTACACTTCGTTTCATTCTGTTTCCCAAGGGTAGGGCAAATCGGGGGCCTTGCAAGCGTACCTTTTGTTTGCCGCCTTGGTTTTAAAGGAAAACCACAATAAAGAGGGTGTGTGGGGATTGGCAGGCCTCACTGGGAAAGCACGGTTTGTTTGCTTCTTAGCTTATTTCAAGACACCTGAACCCCACATGTTGTTTTCTTTTTGTTGCTTTGGCGCGGTCCTTGATCCGATTTCTGACCGACGCTCTCCGTGGGTTTCGCAGGTCGTTCGCCCACCACACCGTTGGCTTCGGAGCGTCCGGAGCCGAAGCCGGAGCCGAAGCCTTCCAGCGGAGCTGACCTGGCGGAGGTGTTCCGGCGCCTGGAGAATTTGGAGCGCCTCTGGCGCGTGTTGATACTGTGGATGGACAAAATCCTGCACCTCTTGGAAACCATGATGCAAATGATTGTGCGTTGGTACTTACAGGGGAATCATCATTCCATGGAATCTTAGGTACTGCAGGATTTCGTCCATCCACAATAGGGACCAAGTCCAGGTGTCTCTTGAGTTACTCCTGGAGATTCATTCTCCGGCCTTTTCCTAGGCGTTTTAGTTTTCTGGCAGTTTTGGGCATGTTGGGCGTTCTAAGTGGTTTCTAGGAGTTTTGCACGACCCCCGAGCCCAAAAAGCGTCTTTTTCTGATTTGCGGGCGTTTGCGGGGTTTTGCGGGCGCGGGCGTTTTGCGGGTAATTCTGGGCGGGGAAGACGTGAAACCGTACCAATTCTGAAATCTCAAGAATATAGGAGCTTTAGTAGTTTTAGGCGACTTCACGAAAAAAACATCGAGATTTACGAAAAGCAAGTCAAAGCCGAGAACTACCAGGAAATTCATGGAAAATGAATCTCCAGGCTGGAGTGGTATTGAAGCAAAGCCAAAAGGAAAACCGAAATCCAGTTAGGAGGGGGCCTTCGGCGCGTGTTGGTCCAAGGTCCTGGGTGGGTGTCCTTTGAGGGTAAGTCTGGGGGTAATTTTGAAGGAAAGCCAAAGGGAAAACCGAAGTAGTTCCGTTAGGTGGGTGTATCGGTTCTTGAGGGGGTGCCCCCTTTTGGAGTGGTTTTGAAGGGAAGCCAACAGTAAGAACGAAATCCTTTTAGGGGTGGCCGTACTGATGGCTACAAATCCACGAAGGCACCATGTTTTGTCCAATTTGTAGTTGATCCCCACCGCCCCAGTATTCATAGATCCGCCATGGCGTTGTCCGATCCGTACTGTCGACGGTTAGAACTAAGTTCCACGTCACACGCACCGATTGGGTTGATATGGGGTTTATCCCTTGTCCCAGAATGGTTCTGAAGCTTCAACTGGTTGGGATGGATGAAGTCCTACGGGGATAAACCACCTCCTGCATGCGGCAGGTCTGCACATGCTGCGAGCTTTGTCCCACAAAGCGATCCGGATCCACGCGAAATTGCGCACCCTGCATGGGTCTGCTGTTTCCCGACTGCTTGTTGTTAACCGCCAGGATTCCATTCCTTTCCCACCTCACCCATGGTCAATCGCTTGTTTAGATCCCATGCGTCTTTCTTCTTCCGCAAAGTAGAGGACGCACCCCTTGCGAGCCAAGCAGGCGTTGATCTGCACCAGCGATCAACGCGTGTCACAACCAGCTCTGGCTCCATGAGTTCAAACGCCAGATGGCACCACGGTGGCTATGGGCGGCATGCCACGTGACCGAGGATCATTTGAAATCTTTGGTGATGCTGTTTTTGCAGTTGGCTTGCCAACTTCCACACGTCTTGTTCTTAGTGCTGGCAAAAGCTGAGGTAGCCGTTTCTCTCTTGGCGCAGCCCAGAACTTGTAGTTTTCGTCATGCAAGGGCCCAAGAAGTTAAAATATGTGGCAATTCAGCTGCCTGGAGTCTCCATGACCCTTAAAAAAGTGGGGTCATTACCCAAAAGAAAGGGGTCATGGACCCATTTTTTAAGGGTCATGGAGACTCTGGGTGGTGAAATTCTGTTAGGAAATACGCGGAGAGTGGGTGGCGACCGCTTCGGTCGGCACGGATTGGGCCTCGGTTTCCCCATTTGCCCTTGCCACTTGCAACCTGTCCGAAGCTAAACTTTCAATCCTTCAAACTTTGCCTTGCTTTTTCTTTGGTGCATGTTGCTTTAAGACTTTCACTTTTTGCTAGCTATAATGGGTTTTCCATCAAACCACTAAAAGTTAAGACACAGAAAGCAACCGAGTATTTTTGAGTGGAGCCAAGGCAACAGTCTGAGTGCTTCAAACGCTGGCTTGCGGCGATTCGAATCGAGAAGCAGGTATCGCTGCCGCGCAACCCAGGTGCGAGACCATGTCGCTGGCTGGTCAGGTGAGCGACTTGAAAGCCCTGAACCGCCACGAAACTCGGCTAACCCGGTGGGGGTAGCTAACCGCCATGTCACTCATTTGTCTTCTTTGGATACCTGGCGTTAGGCTTTGTTCTCGCCTTTTGCCGCTTGGCATTCGCCACTTTGACAACGCGTGTCGATACTTTGGACACCAGGTGTCCCATTTGCTGCTGGGAAAGTCCCTCTCGCATCCACTTTGGATGTGGCCATCCCCTGTCTACATCCGGTTTGAAGAACTCCGTTGGCCCAAGGACATTCAGCTCATCCGAGATGAGAGCCGCCAGCAGGCCTTGGGGAGTCAGTGAGCTGGGGAGGGAGGTCGAGACCGAAAAAGCTGCAACTAGTGCTAGTTTTCCCGGTGCTCTTTTGCCCTTTTTCTTGGGGGAGGGTTCCCCTACTAAAATAGACTACCGAAAAAGACACGGTGCCCTTATTCTGACCTCTCTACTGGAGAATGGGAACCCCCCGGATGAATGAGCCTGGTTACACCATAAGAGCGACTGCTACGGCCCTTTTCGTCCTCAAGCCCATTAATTGGCCTCCCCTTGTGGGAATCGTTCATTTTGTGGGTGCCACTCCCTCTCCGTAGTACGAGGATTGGTCTGGCAATCCAAATTACCCCCAAGCAAACTTCCAGTTGGGTCCCTTGTAGTATTCCCCCAGGACACTTGCTCAGTGTGTTTATGTGTGCGCATGTGCATCTCCATGTTTTCACTGGGCTTCCGTATGCTTTTTCTCTCCGCCCAATTTTGGCGCCAAGTTTCGGGATTCGATCCGTCCCAGCCTATCCCATGCGAATCAGTCGGGCCAGCGAGATGCGCTTAAAGCTAGTGGCCAATACTTCACTGGTCTGGCTTGAAGCCTCCAAGCTCCTGGTCAAGAAATGTCAGCGCTGAGAAACACGTCACTTCAATTGGAGATGAGTCGAGGCATGAGGCCCTCCTTTGGTAGGAGTTCTTCAGGAGTTGCATACGCTCCTTGTGATGCGCAACTCTCATTTTTCTGAGTCGCGCATGGGCCGTTATCCACGCCATTAAGATTGGAGCCAATGCAACGCAAGCGCACAGGGTGACTGATGATGCGGTGGGGGGGGTGTCCTGATTTGGGGTGAGTTTTGTTCTTTGTTTTTTTAGAAACAAGTTTTCCCTTTTTTTTCTGGAGCACACTGGCCTCGCGGGAAATGTGTGCTTTGCCAATTGCGGCAAAGTAGGGCTCCGTATTTACATATTGTTGAAAGGCATGCAAAAAGAGTTTTTGGGCGGGGTGGAGAAGATGAATCAATATGAGGGCTTGCCCAGTTTTGACACACTTTGTGCGAACCAGGAGAAGCTCAAGCCTTTTCTCGGTTAGTTACCTGTGTACCCTCAGGTGATGGCTTTTCATGATCAAGTGATTGGTAAAGGAGTTCCACCCGCAAAGGGCATGCTCGCGAGTGGCTCGGTTTCTGGGTTGTTCTGGGCCCCAACATGCTGACACCAGAAGCATAGAGATTGGCTTAGGTCTCCTTTAGTGGCCTTTTTCAGATTCACCTTTTCTCCATTTTGTCCTCAAACAAGGATGAAAAGCTTGTGGCTGGGAAAAAACACCTACCAACAGGTGCCTGGCGCGGATTGTCCACCCGCAGGATTTTCAGAGGATTTCTGGTATCATCTCTCCACCGGCCGGTGTTTTTCGCAGGCCGCCCGTTCACCACAGGAAACGCCAAAGGAAGTGTTTATTTGTACTAGCCCTGCTCGGCTATGCGGGCCTTGTGCAGAGCCGGGGCTAGTACAAAGCCGCGCGAAAAAAGGAACTCAACCGTCCAGGCATGTTACAAACCCTAAACCCTAAACCCTAAGCCCAGTATGTTTCATTTGTAGTTGTTCTTATTATTTTTGTTTGGAGAAGGGGGCGGCTAAGTTACTGGGGCCGGTCCCCACTACCACCACTTTGTCTTGCGCAGGCGGAGGCGTGCGAACGTCTCTGCCGCTTGAGTTGCAGAGACGAGGGCCGCAGGCCACTCGGCGCTGGTGAGCCGGGTGAGAGGTGAAAACAGCCACTGCTGTTGGATCAAATGCTTTGGTTTGTTGGTTGTTTGGTTCAGTGATTGTTCTGTAGGGGGCTTTTTGTTTACAACAAAATGTGCTACCATACCAAGAGTTGTGAAGTGAAAACCCAGCGATCGTCCAACTCGGCTAGGTGTTAAACCAGGCATAACTAACACGATGCCAGTTGCCCAGTGGTGTCCTTTTGAAGGTCCTCATGGCCGCTAGGGGTCTAAAGGTTCGGCATTGGTTTTCATCAACCCAGACAGGAAATTAACCTGGACCAAAGCCCTGCTTTTGCTGGGTTGCCTTTTTGCCAACAGTCATAGAAGTGGGCACAAGGCCTGTCTAACCTTCTTGATTATGTCCCGAAGCCTTTGCTCACTTCTGCAATTGTGGAAGAAGGGGTGGTTCCCATATGTTCCCGTGTGTCTTGTTTGGGCAGGTAGCGCAGATGTAGAGACTTCCATTTTCCCCGGTTGGTTTTAAAGGGAAGCTATCACTACTGAGCACTACTGGACATATGTTCTCATGGTTTTCATGGGGCAATCACGCAAATGTAAGTAAAAACACATTTGAAGCCTGCAAATTCCACGGATGTTTTAGAGCCCCTTGGACACAACGATCCTTCAAGAGACCCAGCAATGCACCAAGAGCAGCCCTTTGCGGCAGGAATCGCCAAACGGCTAGAAGCGCTAGGGAACAGACTCGGGGGTTGGTTGGGGGTTCAGTCAACTTAGGTTGCAACCATGGTTCTACCCGGGGTTCACTGGGTTACACCCAAGATCACCCCTAGAGTGCCGGCTGGGACTGCAGATCTCTCCGGACCCCCATAGTGACACTCTCATGGGGTTAGTTGGAAGTTGCTTCACTGCTGTTGGCAGGGTTTAGCTTGTTTTTTTTTTTTTTTGGGGGGGGGGTTCTGTTCAATTTGTGTAAGGGGCTGCAAAAGGAATGCTTGTTGCTACCACGCTCAACCACTGTTTTTGTGTTTCTGTTCATATTATTGGTAAGGGGCTGCACCAAATAAGGGTTGTTGCTACGAACGGTTGGGAACCCTCCATTTGCTTCAGAATCTTTTTGATTTCCCCTTGTTGGTCTTCAAGGGAATCTATCGCCACTGGCAAAATGTCCTCATTTTTCCGGGCCAAAACGCGAAAAGGGAAGGAGCGGTTGCTTGCCGCTGGATTTTTCCGACTCCGAGAAAGCTCGGAGAAAGCTGGAGGCAGCTGGAGGCGTGCGAGGACCAGCTCCGGCAGTTCCAGGAAGAGATCCTTGGACTTGGAGCTGGGGCGGCACAACCTGAGGCTTCAAACTCTCAGTTGTTCAAAGCGAATCGACCTTTTCACCTTTTGGTTTTCCCATTTTGGCAACCATATTTCGTCATGGCAACCCAAAAGGTGATCACCTTTGAGTTGCAGGTCCTTTGGGCAGCTGAGTTTTACCATTTCACCAGTGACTCACTTCTTGAAGCAAACAATAACATTCTATGCCTGAGCCTTGGGCAGCGGCGGCCCTGAGGCTTCAAGCCCCACTGAACGACAATGGCTGACCCAACTTAGATGATGCTCACTTCCTGAGTGTATGAACTTTAGTCACTTTTTGGGTTTAGACCACTTTAGCGGAAAAGATCAAGTTTGGACTTTTTGGGCTACCTCCCATTTCCATTCTTTCTAGGGATCCTTCGTTCTAGAAAACCACCAGAACAACCTCCAGTACTTACTATGGGTTCCCGGTTGCCTTTTGAGGGTTCTAGTTGCGTTTCTGTCGGTGTTCTTCGGGTTCAGTTGGAGGTCCAACTGACCAACTATGGTTCGGAAGGTTGCTGGGATTTGGCCTACATTGAAGGGTTCACAAGCATGGACTAAAATCCACAAATGGTTTGGGTTGGGGGCAAAGGCCCAGGTTAACACCATGAAGCCCATGAAACGAGGTAGAGCCGCGACTGCGAAAAGGGAAAGAAGCAGCAACTCATCACCCCATCCCTTGGTGAATTGGTTTGTTGGTTTGCAGGTTTGGGTTTGGTACTGTTCATGTGGTTCCCGTGCCCATGACTACCGTGTCACTTCACGCAGGTGCGGGACATTTGTGTAGTGGACGAAAAGTTGCACCAAATGGTAGGTGGCTTAGTCCAGAATCATACTGCTTCATCCAGGTTTCATCGGTGCAGGATTTTGTCCATCCATCGTGTTTAGGTTAGTGGCTTGTATGATTTACATGTCCCGTTCTGAGTGGCTTACACCTCACCTAGCTTTCAAAGTGCAAAACACCCAACATCTACTGGCCCCATGTGTAAGAAGCAAATATGAATGTGTTGTTTTCAGGTGATGCTTAAACAAAAGCATCCTCAGAGACTTCGAGTGGAATCCAGTTACACGAGCAGCGCCTGATCGGACCCGCTTCGCTCTTTTTTGCGGGGTAGCGGGGTTCCCCCCCAATTTATAAACCATGTGAACCAACTACCTCCAACCAGATTTATGGGGGTTGCCCTTGCTCCCTACGACTGCCACTGACGCGTGCACTGCATTTGAAAGACCCACCCTTGGCAAACCAGGACAATTGCTGGTTACCTACATTTACCTGCAAAAAGTGGCAACTGGGATCCACTGTCAATGGAATGGGGCCCAAGCCTTCGAGTGCTACCTTCCCCATTCTTTCCAGGGATCCTTCTTTCTGGACCTCCGGAAACCCAGGGAAACGGATCCGGTTTTCGATCAGAACGATGGTTGGAAAGAATGGAAAAGGAATCAACCCCTAGAAGCCTTGCCAAGCTGCGACTTGAATGACCCAACCCTTCGCCGACTCCGCCGATCTTCCGGCGGTTTCTGAGGAACCGCAAGCAGCTGGAGAGCGCGCAGAGCCGGATCTTCGCCAGCGCCGCCCGGCAGATTTTTTGAAGCCCAACGGCCCTCCCAGCAAGTAACATGGAGGTGCAAACAGGCCCTTTCCAAGAGGAAGCTTGACTGCTGTTGGGTTGGATCTTTAGACTTTATAACTTTTTGGTTGAAATCAAGTCGGGTTTTCCACTAAAGCCCCAAAAAGTCAAAACTTTTTGCCGGGGGGTCGTTGCAGCAACCAAGGCAAGTAGTCTTTCCACGGGGGTCTGTGCACTTCGGAATCGCGGAGGGTAGCCGGTAGCCCCGGGGTCCAAAAGTGGTGCGATTTCTTTCGCGCCGTGCAAGCCTGAAAGGAGAAATCCACTTGCCCAGAAACGTGGTGACGTTCATGAGGTTAACCCAATTTTAGGCGGAACCATGGTTGAAACCCTTTTGCAGGGAAATCATTCTAGGGGTTTCTTAGGTGCAGGATTCCGTCCATCCACAGTATCACCCGTCAGGCAATTCAGTCGAGCCTTGGGTGGTTTGGAGCTCACGGAGTTTGAAGCCCCAGTATGATTGAATCAGGGGAAGGTTCCGAGGTCCAAGACGCGTTGGTAGCACGAGGAGTTTCACCATGCAAGCGGTTCCGGAGCGTTTTCTCGCTCCCACTGTCGAGTTTTATGTTACTTGGTGGGAGGGTAGTTGGTTTAACCCCCAAGTAGAGAACTAGTCGGTGTCCTTTTTAGGTTGGTTGGGCTTGCAAATTGTTAAAACCCTCTAGGCCCCGTGCCGAAATTGGGTAGCTGTTCTGAGGTCCTTGTTGGTGTTGCTTCCCAAGTTCCATTGATCGCCATTTGGCTCAAGACACAATTGAGGTTCAAGATCTGATGTGTGACTGCGGATATCCGTGACTGGCATTAGGAGGAAAACAACTGCTTGCGCCGCACTGTCAGGACTACTGTTGTGACTATCACTCCTTCTTCCTTACAACGTTTACACGGGTTCGGCTATAACGGCATCGTCCGTATACACCTTTCTACGTGGTTGGTATTAAAGCTTGAGGGTTCGGTGCACAGCGTCCCACGGGACGTCACCTTGCCGTCTCTTGACAGGTTATCAGCCGTAATCTACAAGCTCTACACTGGACTGGGAGACAGCTGGTTTATTGCGGGTACAGGGACAATAAAGGAACGATAACTACACAGTACAATGGCGTCTTCGGCGAGCCCAAGTACTGCAACTTTTGGGAACAGCAGCTCAGAGGGATCCAATGGATTGATGGCTCTTCCTGCGGTGATGGATATGATTGCAGATTCACAGGATGAACCTGGGAGCGGAGGTTCCGCGCTATTCAGCGACATATCTACTCCCACAAGATCATGGAAGCAGATCGATGTTCATCAGGAGTCGAAGAAAAGAGAATCCCCACCGAGAAGATCATCATCTTCGCCTGCGACACCACGGACGTCGCAGAAGGGCGTGAGATCGACATCGAAGGGTGGGAGGTCAAAATCACCCACCAGTGCAGATTTTCGCGCCGTGATCAAAGAGAAGAATAAGATGGAGGTGGAGATCGGGGAATATCAGAAGACACTTGATGAAATGTCGGCAGCAATGGCGAATCTTAACCAAGAAGACTATGGAAGCACCATCCGGATCCAGGAGCTGGAAAGACGATGCGAGATTGCCAGCAAGCAGTCGGGACATCTAGTGAGTCACCACCAACACCACATGGCTGAGGCATGGCGCAAGTTTGAGGAAGAAGCCCAACAGATGCGCAAGGTGGAAATGAACGCATTTCAGTACGGGGAGAAGAAAGACATGGAGTCGAATATTATGATGCAACAGATGAGGCAAGCTGAAGGAACTATCATGGAGCAGAAGCGGGAGATTGCATTGATGAGATCCTACATGGCAAGCGAGAAGTCGGCCGCGCAGGAATCAGCTATACGTGCAAATCAGATACACCGTGAGGCTTCACAACAGATATCAGCTTATCAGCAACAGATCAGAGGCATAGAATCTTCTACATCTATCGAGAAGTTCAACGAGGAGGAGATGGTCCAAAGTCTGAAATCACAGTTGGAGCATGCACTCGTCAAGCGCCCCGAGACGTACTCTTTGGAGGACTCCAGGGAACAGCTGATGACGAGGCTGAATGACGTTACAGTATTTGCGGAACAGGAATCGAAGAGAGCGGATTGCTTGCTTCGTGAAAAAGAAGAGATCGTCAAACAGTATGAGTCCGACGTGTCGATGAAGGACCAGATGATTGCTGTCGAAGGTGGTCATCGTCAGGATGCGATCTTGGAGTTAGCCCAGGTCAAAGAAGAGAAACAAGAGGAACGGTGCACGATGGACGAGAAGTCGAAGGAGGCTGAGTACTGGAGATTGACAGCTAAGGGAATGTACGATGAGTACCTCGAGGAGATGCATGAGCTTCAGGGACAACTGAAGGAAAGAGAGGCGACGCTCAAGCAAGAAGAGAGTTTTGTACGCCAACTCGATGCTGACAACGAGGAACTACGTGCACACAAGAAGCTGGAGATGCAGGAAGCCTCCAGCAGCAAAGATGGACATCGTGAACGAGCAGTAGTGAAACGCGCTGAGGGAGGAACCCAGGCTAATTCAAATAGGATAGACAAGAAGGTGGCTGGGTCAGTCCCGTCATCGTCTTCAAATCAAATCCCTAATTCGTCGCTGATGCCAGGTTCGATCCTCTTTCCGTCTTTCGGTGATCCAATGATCGATGTACACCTATCCCAGATGCAAGGGGTTGTTGGGCATGTCCCACAATCCACTACTACGACTGGTGGTGGTGATGGGGGGGAAACAACGGTACTACGCCCCCATTGGATTACGGTGGATTCCCGCCCAATGGGAATGGGCAGGGAGCGGGTCGACGTCAGTTGAGCCTCGCTGGTGGCGGAGGAGGACCTCCGGATGATCCACCCGATGATGAGGATGAGGATGACGACGACGAAGGAGATGAGGAAGACGAGGAAGAAGAAGAGGAAGAAGACGATCGGACACGGAGGAGACGAAGGAGATCGAGAGATAACCGAGAGATCAAGAATGATCGACCGAGAATCTCGAGGAAAGAGGCCGAGAGAGTATCTATTCCGGCCTGGCCAAAGATCCATCAACTTGACACCTGGAAGATGCAACTGCTGATGAATGTTCTGAGCGCATGTGCGGATCCAGATACCGACGCATGGACGAAATGGCTGGAGCAGGCTCTTGGGTTGAACCCAGACCTGGATTTGCTTAGCGATTCAGGTGGCGACAGATTTGCTACGATAGATATTAAGATGGCCATGGGCATGCAGAACATGCTGAAACAAGCACCTGACGAAGCCAAGGACGTATACCTCGATGCTACACGACACTCTGAACTACGACATCAACAAGGGGTGATCGTGAAGGGACGAGAGTTGGTGGCATTAGTTATGCAATCATTCAGAACTTCCGATAGAACGGATCTTGTCTACCACATCGAGCATCTTATTCAACCTTGACTTTCCTGGCGACAAGAACTTGGTCATGTTCAGGAACAAATGGTATGATTTGCTGCTGAAGATGAGGAGCGAGGACAGACCCAGTAAGCTGGCTCTCAGAGACATCCTTTACAGGAAGATCAAAGGGAGCAAGAAGATGGAGTTCGGCCTCAATGCCTACCATAGACTACCGGACAAGCATCCTCAGAAGACGTATGAATTCTTATTGGCGTTGATCGACTATCAGATCAAGGCAGATCGGGAAGACCTGATGCTCGACATGAAGGAGAAATCGGTCAAGTCGATGATGAAGTCAGGCGGGAAGGATGCGGCTCCAGCAACTGGCAAACAGGAGAACCAGGGTGGCAAGGGCAGAAAGGGGAAACCCGGTGGACCTGATGCCGCTCCTGTGCTCCCAAAAGCCAAGGCAAAGGGCCACGCTGGCAAGAACGGCAAGTCCGACGGTGCCAGCGACAGAGGCAAGAGTCCGGGCGGAAGCAAGGATAACCCCTGCTGGTACCACTTCAAATCGGCGAAGGGGTGCGTGAAAGGGAATGAATGCACTTTTTCCCACAGCAAGAAGACGGAGCACAAGTTGGAGAGTATGTCCAAGGGGAAAGGAAAGGGCAAATCCAAGTCCAGATCATCGTCACCAAAGAGAGATGATGGAGCATGCTTCGCGTTTCAGAAGGGGAAGTGCGATAGGGGGAGCGCTTGTAAGTACAGACATGAGCTCATCAAGAACAATTCAGCTCCAGCAACGTCAAGTGACAAGACACAAGCCAAGTCGAAGGCTGCCGCCAAAGCCGCAGCGCCTGCCATTGTGAGGAGGGCCATCGCGATGCCTGCGATAGTCCTGAAGCAATCGGCTCCTGCAGGGAAGGTAAGCTTCAAGAAGGACGTTGATCATGTCGAACCGGACGAAGCCGAGACTATCTACCACGAGCACGATGACGACGCGATGAGCGAATCATCGAGATGGTCTGGCGAGTCCGAGATCCCCGAGAAAATGGTGTGGTTCAAGGAAGTGCTCGACGTCGACGAGAATGGGGAGATCACCTACCTCGAAGACGAGAGAAGGCAATGGGAACGAAAAGGAGAATGGTACGGTTATGAGGACAATGAGAATGAGCCTTATCAGTACGTGTACGTCGACGAGAAGAAGTTCAAAAGCAGTGATCATCGTGAATTATCAGCCTACCAAGTCCAACGATCATTGATACGTGCGAAGATACTGAGAGAAGTGGTGGATGATGTATACAAGAAGCACTACTTCCCGGTGACCAAGGAGAGCAGCATAATGTTCGAGTATGATCGGAACAAGGACGAGATCAAGGAATCGGCTGTCGACTGGAAGAAACAGCATGGTATGCCGAAGAACGTTTTCGCCATGTCAACGTGCATCAGCAAACGGGTGAAATGGTTGATGGACACCGGATGTGGTCATGATCTCATCGGAAGAGCCAAGGCGAAGAGCCTGGGTGTCGACATCGTGAAAGATGACGACGAGATCGTGTTCCAGACCGCGAATGGTTCCACTTCCACATCTGATGTGGCCAAG